TGTTTCATTCTTTTTGATGGTTGAATAATATTCCATTGTATGGATGTACTGTTATTTTGTTTATCCACTTATCACTTAATGGACACTTGTATTTTTTCTACTTTTTGGATATTATGATGCTATAGCAGGGTCCTTCAACAGACATGATCTCATTTAGTTCTTTCTCATATGCATGTTTATGATTTACAGTATGTGTTAGTAACCCTAAATTAGAGGTGAGAGAGGGGTTAAGGAATGTGCCCAAGACCACAACACATTATGGGCAGAGCTGGAAGGAGAACCCTGCCCCACTCTCTGTCCAGGGCTTCTCCCCTCCAGCTCTCTCAGCTGAATATACAGAACCCCAATTGCCCCTTCTTTAGCTCCTTTAAGAGAGAAATTAATTATGTAGACCCTAAAACACCTCCTTTTTTTCCCTACAGGTTTTCTGAATGAGCCTGCTTCTTTTTCTCTCTTGTCTGATTTTGTCCTGTCTAACCTTTTCCTGGTTAAAAATCTGGGGGAAAATGACGGACTCCAAGCCAGTCACCAAGAATAAAACAGAGACAAGCTTCATCCAAAGCCAGGAGGCCTTTCCAGCTTCCAACAGCTCAGGAGAGCAATCACAGAAGAACGGCAACGACAGTTCTCTGCCAAAGACTCCTAACCAAGCTGAGCTGGCCTCCCGCAAAGATCCCAAAGATGCCCGTTGGCAAAGAACTTCTCGGCCACCGCCACATCGGAATCCCCTAAAAAAACCCCTTTCCTCTGGTGATGCCTCCTCAGCCAATGAGACAGGGACCCAAGGCCAGGAAGCCCCAGATACCAATGGCCAGCCCTCGCCAGCCAGGCCCCAGGGCCAGCGAGCCAGACCCCTCTCCAAAGAAGATGAGAAGCAGGCACACATCAGGAGGCAGCTGATGACCAAGTTCATCCTGGGCTCCTTTGATGACAACTCCTCTGATGAGGATCCCGGCACCGGCTTGTTCCGAGAATCTTCCCGCAGGGGCAGCCGGGCCAGCCTGGGGACCCTGTCCCTGGAGGCTGCTCTGACTGCAGGTGACTCCGAGACCCTCGTCTCCACTATAAGGTAATGTGCCCTTTGTCCTCATCACCAGGAGGGAGGCACCAGGTTAGGGTGGGGTCTCATCCTTTCCTGCCCAGTCAAGCCATCGCTGATGCGAACACTTTCAGGGCAGCTATGTGAAAAGCAGGAGACATTCTCCTTTCCTCCCTCCTTCCTTCCTTCCTTCCCTCCACTCAAAATCATTTATGGAGCATTTGCTGTGTGTGCAGGGTCCCTTGCCAGGAAACTGGCTTTCTAGACAATATCAGCCTAGTTGGGGAAGATGACCTTGTAACTAGTTATAATTTAAGCTGAATGAGTTAAGGCTGGCAAGAGCCACAAGGGGTGATGGGAGCCTGGAGGGTGAGACACACAGTTTCCTAGGCACATTCATTCAACAGGTAGCCAACAGCTGAGAAGCACACCTTCCCCTGAGTGATGCCTAAAAAACAGAAACTCAAATACTGTAACCATATCCGCAATTTGACTGTTGGAAACAAAAACGTATAGGTCCATTTCAGGTGGAGCTATCCCAGGGGTGTAGGCGGTGGCTTTTTGTTGTTGTTGTTGTTATTGTTATTAAGCTTTGCCACCTCCATTCCCAGATTGCAAACGGAATACAGCAGATCCAGAGAGAAAACTTGGGAACCATAGGAGAACAGAGCTAAGAAAAGAGGCAGCCACGTGAACATGGCCAGCCAGGGAGAACTCTGCTCCCTCCCAGGGTTCTTTCCTCCTTCCTCCTTCCTTCTCGTCTTCCCTGGGGGTGCAATCTTCCTGGCTGTTGTTTGAAGCAGCTCTTGTACTCACCCTATGAGTGAGTGAGAAAAACCTGGGCAAGGACATGGGCTCTTCCATCGATATCATGTTCCCAGCGAGCTTAATTTTAACCCTGCTTACTGGAAGTAGGAGATAGAGAAAAGAAAAAGAAACAAAGTGTTTCCCATGCTGAGATCTTTCAGGGAAAGATTATTCGGAGCTTCTGGAAGGGTTCAAGGAAGAGAAGGCTCAGGGTCTGATACAAAGAGCACAGTCTTTGTCATCAGAACCCAGAGCTGGGTTCAGCCCTTGGCTCTGCCGTCTTGTACTGTGTGACCTTGGTCACCTCTCCCGGCCTCCATCCCTCATCTGCAAAATGTCGAAGGGCTTAATTGGGATAATGTTTGTAAAGTATGCACAGAGTTTGGTACAGAGTAGGTGCCTGATAAGCAGTAGATTTCTCCCCAGCTCCTTTCCTGGGCCTGTCTTTTGCCCACCAACACCCATTTCACCCACCTTTTGAATTGACCCAGAGCGTCCCCACCTCCCTTCTACCCCTTCGTCTAAATCACCTAGTTATCGCTTATAACAGTAAGGGATACAAGGCCGCTGGTCGATCCCCATTTTACAGATGAGAAAACCGAGGCTCAGAGAGGTTAAAATACCAAGATCACACATGTAGGGTGTGGCAGAGCCAAGTGTCAAGGCCAGGCCTGTTGCACTGCAGAACCTGGCTCCACTGTGCCATAGCGTGCCCTCCCCAGTAATCCCCCACATTCTCTCCCCTCCAAACCCTGCTCTTCCCTCAATGTGGCGGTTTCAGCAGGGATTAGAGAACATCAGTTTATTGAACCAATTCGCTGAAACTGGCGAACACCAGAGATTACCTTCGTTAGAAGTGGATGTCCAGTGGGGGGTTGCTAAGTGGCATCTAAGTAGGAAGGAAGGCAAGATACTGTTATCACAATAGCTTCAGCAGGAAACAAGACAGATCGTTCTAGCCTGGAGATGGGAAATATACAGATAAACAGATGTCGACTTAAAAATAATATTCACCAGGTATTTCGTCACCAAAAAGGATTTATTTGGGAAAAAGAAAAGGGTTGTAACCCGGTGCATGCAGACATGGCAAGCTACATGCACACCCTGGTCAGCGTGCCAAGACGGAAGGGTATTTAAGGAAGGGGAAAAAGGAAGTTGGAACCGTAGAGTTTTATTATAAAGGAAGGTAGAACCATAGAGTTCTTCCTGTAAGGTTCTCTCCTGAACTTCCTCTAACCCTAGTTTCTCCCATAGACACGCCCCCTCCTCCCTGCCCCCGTCTGATCCTGATCATGTTTCCTTAAAGTTCCAGTTCATTTTTATCACAGATAAGCCAATAACAGTTTCCAAGTGTGTTCCAATGCCAAGAAGGAAACGGTACAGGGAATACCTGAGGGGATCTATTTTAGAAAAGATGTGGTCAGGTCTGGGAAGAGATCTTGGAAGAGGCAACTTTCAAACTAGACCTGAGCAGGCCAACAGAGCTTTTCTGTCACAGTGGAATGTTCTAGAACTGCCCTGTCCAATATGGTAGCCACGAGTTACATATGACTATTGAATTTGAAATGTGGCTAGTGTGACGGAAGAGCTAAATTTAAATTTGTATTTTTAATTAACTTAAATAGTCTCACGTGGCTGCTGGCTATTGTATCAGTGCAGTTCCAGCCCCAATGGGTAAGGAGGAACCAGCTGTGTGAATTATTTCTGCTAGTGCTAGTGAAGAACTTGCCAAGCCAATAGGCTTGCCGATATCATAACATTATTACTATTATTCTTTGCTCCTGAGTCTTGGATTCTCAAAAGTTGTAAGGATTAAATGAACTACTATTTCTAAGGTACTTTGCAAGAGCATAAAGCAGTCAATAAACAGTAGGTTAAGCTATGGAGGGGAGGTGGCAAGTCAACTTTTTTTTTTTTTT